CTAAACGGATATTCGTTCACAGAGCGAGGATAGATCAATACCCTAAGGTCTTTGCAAGTTTGCCTTTATAAATACACAATCGAAACAAAAACTGATTCTTGAATAATTCTATTACGTCTCTTCCGTTATATATTTTATAAAAAAATCAATTAGACGACAATCATGCCAGTCGAAAAAATGTAAGATTTTTGCACAACGACAGAAAGACGAAATTTTCTGGCATTGAAATTTTAGAATGTTAACAAGCTTTCCCTTAAGGCCGATGATATTCCAGAAAGGGCCGGAGAGGCCTTCATTCGAACAAACAACTGTTCATATACCAGCGCCGTGGCAGTTGAATCCGGTGGGCATGAAGTGAATACATGGGCAATCGAAGAATGTCCGCGTGTCGACTTCTTTCTCGAAAAGAAATGTCGACTTCTTTCTGTTTTAAAATTGCACAATCGTCTTTTGCAAGTATATGCGTGTATGTGGTACTGTGTGTACATGTCTGTGTGTTAAGCATTTGTAGTGTCTGCGTGTATACGAGACAGAAAGACGAAATCGTGTGTGTGTGTGTGTGTGTGTTTGTGTGTGTGTTTGCGCGTGCGCCTGCTGTTTATGTACTTGCATGTTTTGTCTGTATATGTCTGCAAAGTGGGAGGTCGCAGATCCTTCATATATATATGATACAATTAGCGTGTAGTATTAAAATCATATACAATTGTTACAATATTTAAATAGTACTTATTACATATATATATCATACCGATAAGGCTTAGATATACATATACAGATATATATATGTATACATATATTTATATATATGTATAATCAATATTTATAGGGTTGCTTAATCTGCTTATACTTAACATTTTAAATGTCCCGGTGAGAAAGGGTCTTCCGGTCGTTTTGCGAGTCGATTCTCAAAGAATAGGGCAGAAAGAAGATTCGAGAGAGAGAGAGAGAGAGAGAGAGAGAGAGAGAGAGAAGGAATGGAAAGAAAAAAGAAGGAGAAATAGCAGAAAGTTTATCCAGAAGTACAAATGTTCGAAGAAACAGAATGATTTACATAATAATTTGGTCACGGCAATGCTGCAGCTTTTTATGCAATATTGTCATATATACAACGAATTCAATATTTCATTAAAAAAAAAAAAAAAACAAATATCGTATAAGTAATGACAAAGTTAGTATTATTGTCAAAAGGTCGAGGATTATGAAATAATCAAAATATTTTGCAATATCTAAAAGTATAACTTCAAATAAATTTAAACACACATTCAATAAATCTCTAAATAATTAGATTTATCTTCCGTACTTTAACACAAAGTGTGACGAAAAAGTATAAGATTCATAAAATTTGTCCTTCCCGTAATTCTTCTTTTTACTGATTTTTCATGTTGGTGAACATCAACTGAAAGTTCGTTGTATAATACGGCGATATTTCATACAATTTTTTATTGGATACAATTTTTCTATTTTTTCCAGTCAGATATACCTTCACTCTCGGAGATACGCCATTATGGGAATGCGATGCTCTAGTGCTCTCGTTTCGCAAAAATCTTCGCATATCATCACACCAGAGGAGCAGCAAAGACGTCCTAGAATTTATGCGGAAAAATTGGGATAAATCGCTTCTCCCTTTGCTTTTCTTTCGCAGATGAAAGTAAGATCGAATTTACAAATCACGGTGTTCGAGACTGCTGTCAAAAGCAACAAACATAACAACGCCATCATCAATTTAGACACTCATTAAAAAAAAAAGAAAGGAAACGACATTTTTTACGAGGTCGAACATACTTTGAAAACTGGACCCAGTCTGGATCAACGTGATTCGTAAAATTCACTTTTAGGAAGAGTATATAGCTGACAGAAGATAAAGATCGAATGAAGATCGTATGATTTCACCGGTCACAAGTTCCTTTCCTTTTTTTTCCGCACTCCATATCTTTACACGCAATAAACGCACTTGTTCGGACAGCGTCTCACCAGCGATATCGCATTTTTTTTGCACTATATAAAAAATTTACACTATTTATAATTAAAAATCGATAAATTCTTTTACTTTTTTTTCGTCTGGTACAAGAGGGAGGCTTAAGTAGATATATGACGACAGACTGCTAGATTAATGCGATTTCTATCCCTAAACGTTCATACCAAATTTTCGAGAGATTTTATCATGGGAAAAGGAGAAGAAAAAGAGAGAGATAAGAGAAATGTGACAATCGGAAAGATTAATGACAAGTGTACTTGGAACATGTTATATCATATTTATAAATGTGTGTTACATGTGCGTGTTTTATACATGCGTATATGTATATGTATATGTATATATGCGTGTGCTCATACGTATATATATGTATACACGTGCGGATTTATATGCATATACATATATTTACATATGTCTAGCGCGATTAGTAATAGCGGAAATGAATAATCAAACAGGGAGAGAAAAGAGGACCGTTAATCAAACAATATTCGATAGCATAATAATAATAGTAATAATAATAATACAATATCATAATATAATGATAATAGTACTAAAAATACGACAGATAAATCGATAATCTTACGTTAGCTGATAAGACATGAGATATTTTGCGTTCGATTTACGCTTCGTGCCGTTTTTCCTTTTTCGCAACATTTTTCTCGCTTAATTTATACCTCGCTTCTCTTATGCGCGAATTTGTCAAGTGCGATCGATGGAATCTATTACAGATGAGAGGCGCGGTGTATCTTCTTCCCTTTAACGACTTTTAATTTACAAATGAACGCGTGATCGCAATTTATCATTATTACGGATGAAGGAACTAGTTTTTTTTCTTCTTGTCATAGTTTTTTACAAGCACGTTTTACACGTTTCTCGCATTTTACGTAATTCGTTACTTTTCCTTTTTTTTTAAAGCGGTTTTTACAGGTCCGGCGTCCTGTCGACTGAAGATGAGGTGGCGACTGGAATGTCTGTCTATATTCACGAGAGGTCTATCGTACTTTTCACCTCTTTACAGCGTGTCAATTACATATGCATGTGTCACTCTGTGTGTGGGTATCGTGTAAATATGTGTGATACATAGAGCGAACGTGCAGCCTCAGCGATTTTCGGAAGGATCGCCCGCTGCAAGGAAGAAGCGAGAGTCAAGCATTTCATGGAATTTACGCATCGTAAGCGGCATCGAACGATGAAATACCAAGGTTACTTTCGTCGCGTGTTTGTCCGTCACCCACCCCCTTAACGGCATTTTGACAAGGGTAATCATCGAACAAAGAAAAAGAAAGAAAGAGAGAGAAGGAGAGTGACAGCTGGGGGGGGGGGGAGAGGACAAAGGAAAAGAGAGAGAGAGAAGAGGTACTTAAGAATTTGTCAATTTCGTTAATAAATCGTTATTTACAATATCTTACAAAGAAAGCTGCTACGTTCTTCCCTCTTCTTTGCTTTTTCTTTTTGTACAGAGTCGTGCGACGGGCGTTTAAGTTCTAGTTTGCTGGCGAGTTTTGTGAGTTCTTTTATTTTCCTTTTTTTCCTTTGATTTCTACATATTTATCATCTATCTCGAAACGAAATATATCACATCATTATACACGAGAGGGCGGCTGATAATCGAAAAAAAGAAATACTAAGTTATGTATAAAAATTTATCCGAAAAAAGAGAATCCTTACATCACAGTAGCATAAAGTACGCGCGATCCCAATGAAAATGGCTGAGTGTGCGCTCTTTGTCCTCCAACGGTCTATAATACAATTGAAATATTCAAAGTGTGGTGTGTGTCTGAATGTATATATGTATATCCGAAGAGATAATGGGGAGAAAATGGCGCGAACGGATTATAGATACACATGCGTTGTGCACGATCTTCTGATATTTTTGTTTCTCGAGAACGCGTTTATATCATTTATACAATGTACAATGGTCTTCGTCTTTTACGTTCCAAGAATGATAGCTGCAAATTATTTAAAGGGGAGGACAGGGAGGAATATCTCTCTCTATATATATATATATATATATTTATATATGTATGTATATATAATTTCTTTTTGCCTAGTGCAACTCCATGAAATATGTTTATATCTTACAATTGGATACTTCGGAAAAATGTGAAATCGGATGAGTTTGGTTAGAGGAGGGGGAGCGTAACTACGGTTGGGACAGCAGCGTTTAGAACGTAAATCATAAATTTAATATAATTAGTAATTATTATATAATACATAATATTCACAGACTCCGTCAAGAAATAAGGGAAAATAAAATATTCACTGAATTTATCGGTCCTCGCGTATTTCGGATATTTGTACCTATACACATTTGTTATTTATATCACAATTTACAAAATTCGAGGATCTCAAGAGGGCTCGAGGGACGGGAGAAGAATATACGGGAAATAGAAATAAAAAAAAGAGGGAAAGAGTGAGGAAAAGCCGTGTTCCTTACTCCGGGAGCTACGAACGTGAAAAAATTAACAAAGGAGAACGCGGCAGCGTGAACAGTTCATCTTGTTGTCTCACTTTGTCTGCTTTTTCGTATCTGTTTTCACTTCCCTCTGTGTAGGTTACGTTCATAGAAAATCAAGGCGAACAAAAAAGGAAAAAAAATTAAACCTTTTTTTCATTTAGAAACTTTTTAAAGATTATTTCGACGTTAAAAAAAATAAGGAAAAAAAGAAAAGAAAAAATAGAATAACGAAATAATCGCTCCTTGTGTGAACGTTCCTAATAGTCTCAAGGGGACACAGATCGATGGTCAGGTCAGAGGTCCAGGTCCAAGGGTCTATGCCTGATTTTTTCATTCCCATGTCAAACGCTATGCTACATTTCTATAATTAAACAACATATCTATAATTTCTAAAAAAACTTCTATTTCTCAAGTTTTAACCTTATTTTCTTGTCTGCTGACTCGTCGATCGGGCGCATACCGTGCGTTTAAAAATAATACTAAAGCAGGAGCAGTTGCGTGTAAAAGAGAGAAAGCAGCCCGGTATACGCGAGATCGGGAACGTCACACATTATCCGCGGCGTGTTTATTTGTGTGTGTGTGTGTGTGTGTATATGTGTGTGTGTAATGTGTTACAACCTTCGTACAATTCGATATAAATGCATGCAGCACTAAGACCTAACTGTCTCTAAAACTGTCCGTGATTTTATCGCGTCGCCCTCATAGAAGCTTGTTGTTAACATTCTCGCCAAATATAATTCTTGACGAGAATTGCGCTTCGCACATCCGTAATGCTCCGTTTTATTCACTTTTATCAGAGAATAAAACCCTTACATATTTTCCTTTCTATGTGCTGGATTGAGGAGACTTAACGCATCTAGTGAATCCAGCGTAACTGCTCTGCACGATAATTTAACAATCGAGTGATCCTCTTTTATGGATCTGTACGAAATTTAATGCATTTTTATGCGGCACAATACTAGCCAATAGCTTAGCTTAGCGTGCGCCGATTGGTCGTGAAACGTACTTGAAACTCGAGCCGATCGTGAGAAACATCATTACTTGCAAATCAAAAATCATAGTGCAACACTTCTATTCAATATGCTCGATCGGTAATGCGAATATCTCTACGTACGTGGTACTCTCAAGTAGGGGTACATGTTGCAAAACGATAGAAAAATGCGCTACAACGTATCTATCCTCGTTTCTACGGACTGTTTTTTTCGTAGAATTCTCGTTAGAACGGATTTCGCCATAATTTGATCTCGCATTGCCCGAGTCCCGAAGAAAAGCTGGTTTACTGTACAAATATCGTCGACTTCGTGATTGCAAAAATAAGAAAAATCGTTACATTAACAAATTTCTTATGAGAAACAATCGTTAGAAAAGTTTATTTTTCCGCTTCTTTTTCTCTTGTCTTCGAAGGACATGGGGCAAAACGAGAAAAGAAACATACGTGGGAAATTCGTTGAAATTCGTGATTCCCGTTGATAGGTAGAACAGATCTCGCTAAGGTAAAAAGATAAGGTAATACATAACGCGACATGCGGACATGCGGTTTTTCTTGCCTCCTTCTTCGCGGATCTTTTTCTTTTTCCGCGGAGGGAGAGGCTATTCCGTGCATGCGCGTTTATAAAACCTGCGTTGATTGTTGGTTTGACGTCGAGACTGGACCAGATGCGGCGGACGCAGGCGGTCCGATCGGGCCGAGATCGCCGCCTCCGCTGCTTGTTGATGTACCAGCAGACGTCGCTCCTACTCCCATCGCTGAAGCGGTCTTCATGAAGAACTTTTCCAATTTAACAATGATGTGCTTGCCATAGGTGTATTTGCGTAAACTTCCCAAATGCGGCCGAATCTTATGCATCAGCACCTTGCGCTGCGCTGGCTCCGCGACATCAATCATCTTTTGGACGACATAATTGGCATACTGATCCTTCATCATCACGTTCAGTGCACTGTGCGATGAGAAGAGAAAAATAAATAAACAATAAACATTAGACTCTTGAGAATATGTTTTAGATAAAAAATGCACTCACTTGTCATTGAAACCGCAAACTTCTTCAATCAGTACAGCGCGTTCCTGCCTTGTAGCATGAGTCACGCATTTTTCGACGACGTTACTCGCAAACTTGTGCTGGGAAAGAGCGAGTACTTTACCTCTAACGCTGCTGATTAATTGTGCTTTGTCCTCTGGCTTTCCATGCTCTATGAAATAGATAATTCCATTATTAATATATTAAGAATTTTAAGCATTCATTATTAATATTATCATATTTGCTATATAATAATATTTGAATTAAATTAATAGTAATGTAAATAATATTTGTTTTCATTAATAATAAGAACAGTACAAAATGATAAGAATAGATAGAATTATATATAAAGATACAGATACCATTATATACGATCTACTTTAGTAATAATCCACTTATTGTCAATTGATAATGTGTATTGAAATTTTTTAACTGATTTTATTTAAAAGATCTTTAGCTCTTAATGATAATCGCATCGATATAAAATAAATGATATTTACCAAGCACATGTTGAATGACGTAATTGCCATATTGATCTTGAATTAGTTGATCAGTGGCAGCGTGTAATTCTTGCAAAATTCCTTGAGTTTGTTCAGCGGTGCAATGTTCGAGGATACGCTGGATTACTCGGCAGCCATACGGATGAGTACTCAAAGAGTATACCTGTCCCGCAAAGGCTCCTATCACGAACTGTAATGCACGAGGTTCAACGCACTCGATGCATTTCTGCACAACGTGATTCCCGTTTTGATCCTTAACACACTTCAACACATGCCCATCTAGTTCTCGTACGATTTCCTGCTGCTGTTCCGGTCCGATCGACTCGAGTGCCTTCTGTATGACTCTGCAGCCATACATCTGCAGCGCAAGTGGTAAAACATGTCCTCGAACCTAATATAAAAAAAAATAATAAAAATAAAACAAAGGCACTCATAAAGATATTTTTAATATAATTACTTGTTAAATTATCAGAATATTTCATGTCTAATCACATTGAATCAGATGACACGCAAAATTTTTTTCGTCATATCTAATATGAGTTATAATAAAAAGTGATAGTAGTAATAAAATAACAATAGCATTAATAATCTGAGACTGGTCTTTTTGAGAATGTATATAGAAAATATTTTGCATGAGATATAGATAATAATTTAAAAAATGAAAAGACAATGTTCACAAAAAACAATATAAAATCAAAGATATGATTGATTTATTAAAGCGTTAAGAAACGCTTTAACACATGGCCTATTCAGTATTGAATTATCGGAAATTATTAGAATAAAGTGAATTAGCTCTAATCAATTCTTCTGGATAAAATAATTTTTTCAGATATAACTGAAATTTACCTTTTGTGCGAGAGTCGATTTCTGTTCTTGTGTACCGTATTCAAAGAACTTCTGTATAACATAATTTCCGAAGACATCAGTCATGAGAGAATATGCGGAGGAAAGGATCTCTTGGAATACAAGCTGTTTCTCACTGGCCGAGGCCCGTTCCAATTTCTGTTGAATGAATCGTGAACCATGCTGATCTTGACTGAACTCGACTATGTGATTAGCCAAATCACGCAACTGAAGACTCGGGAAACTAATGAGAAAAGAACACGTATAATTTATTAGCGTATTGTTCATTTGCGCGCTGGGATAAAGCTACTGATTGCGTCGTCAGAAGCAAGAGACCATACGTAATTTTTTCTCACAATATATATATTAAGTCATTTTCTTTTTTCTCGTGCACCGTTTGTGCTTGAATTTAAAGTACATCTCTTTCTTAATTTTCTTAAATTAATAAATATCTTAATCAATTGTCATAGATATCTATTTTCAGAGAAGACAGAACACATGCAAGACAGATTTAAACTTGAATAAGTAAGATAATCCAAAGAGTCTGCGTCATAAATTTGGCGATCTATCTATTTACATGTCTTCAAGAAACTAATTTATTTTAATAAAAGTAAAAATTGTATAATCCTTCCGTTGTAGACATTTAAATACTGGAAAATTGTAAGAAAATCCATTAATTTTTTTACCGATTATTTCGAAAATCTTCCAGTAGGCGAGATCGTCCTCCAGAATTTTTGTCGTTGATGTTAGCGGCACCTCCACGACCAGGCTTGCCTACGAGATTGGGAAACAGAGAGCTACTAGAGCCAAACACTCCGTTGGCTGTTAGGGTGGGTACCGCACTGGCGCGGAACTTCGCTTCGGCACCGGGGGCCGCTGATACTCGACTGGCACCTCCTACAAGACCACCCAGTGATCCTCCTAAAGTTGGCGGCGGTGTTAACGACAAGCCTAAGGGACTTGGTGACGCAGTAACTGTACCTGCATAATAAATCAAAGCACTTAATGACAGATTCTTTGATACATTTGGAGTCGATTCTTCCTCGAATATCAAAGATCGCTATCGTTTGCAGCGATCTCCGATTTCGAATATCACATGTTTTTATAAATAAAAATTTTGCTATAATATTTATTTTAAATCGAACAAAGAAAATTAATTATTTTAATTACTAAAAAGCTCAGTTCGAATACATCTGTTATCTTATATTATTAATTACTTAAAATATTGCTGATTCTTGGGCATATTCGTTAAACAAAAATCGACTCCAAAATTTCCTAAAATTACATGAAGAATAAGAAGCCTAAGCGCTCGTATCTAATTATGCTCGATCTATATCTGTATATACCTGTGTCTGTATATTCTTTGCAGGGAGTACCTGCATTTGTAGCTAAATACACTCTGTCCCAGGTACCTGTATCTAGAGAAAATAGTACTTCTTATCTCACTGATTGTGAATGATGCGCTGTACAATTTTGTACAGAAGCAATGTACACTGTATAATGGCTAAGTCTAATCCCGTGAGTTATGTTAAAATTGTTACGGATTGCAGTGGTGACACTGATCGCTCTCTAAACCAGTCGTCCTTGCGGACGTTTACTCACTCCCAATTAAGACGTTTTTAAGCATCAGGATAATTTATACGTTGGAATCAGTTTAGAGAGAAAGGGTAGTGTTGTTATCATAGCTGAGTTATGTATACAAAAGCACGTGTACAAATGGATTACGATATATTATTAAGACACAATGTACAACATAGATAATCGAGCGTCTATGGCGATTCCGAGATGCCTTACAGCCGTCGTGTACAGGCGTCTAAAATGACACATTCAAATTTTCGAAAGTATCTTTCATTGCGTGTCAACGTATGGTGAAAAAAGACGATAAAAAAGTTGATAGGGTGAAGATAATTCTTCTTTCAACTTTCATTATAAGCACTTTCCATTTAGTGACACAAATTGACACAAATCTTGTTCTATCTTTCTTGACACCACGTACCACGAGTAACAAAGATAGAACGATACTAGTATCGACCTATGTCATCAAATGGAAAGCATTCCATCACTTGCATTTTCCCGTACGTTTTCTACACAACGGAAACATTCGAACATGTTTTTCTAGACGCCCTACACCCCGTGTATCGGAGTACATTTCACACACAACAAAACTGTTCTTACCGAGGGCGCCGTAACTCTGAGGCCACTTCGCCCGGCTATATTCCAAGCTTGGACTGAAGGCTGAAGTATTTCTATCAAAGGAATCACGTCTGCCGGTTGAAGACGCACCGAGGCCTAAACCTGCACACAAGACGGACACCGTCATCTTAACACGGGATGCTCGAAGGCAACCGGTATCGAGCATACAAGAGACGTGATGGTATCAAATAGATTACGAATAATCAACAAATCGGCACAAACGCTCTATTGAGAAAGGCACGTCGCTGAACGAAAATTGGCTATATTCAACACGAAAGTACAAATCAATTAGATTGTATGAAGCATGCAACACCTTACGTTATTCTTTATTTATTTTTTTGTACATGAAAATCCGTACACACCACCACTGTAGAGAGCCAAAAGGAATTTCTCTGATCCCAGGAAAAAAGCACTCGAGTTGATAAGCTCATATATTTCAGGATGTCTTATTTTCCATAACACAAGATAAAGTAAAATATACATATCTCCATACAATATTTTTACATAAACTTAATCTAAATATTTCTACAAGAGATACTATGTAACTACTAAACAATGACAATTATCTTAGTATTTTTTGCCATTAAAAAAAATTTTAATTTGATAAGTTGTGCAGATCTTTCTCATACTTAGTATACTTATTATACATTCCTCTGGCATTTTGGAAGTTATCGCTATTACATTGGTTTATATGTACAAGATAACTTCAAAAATTAAGGAGCTCGTTTCCAATCCGTATGCTCAAAAACGAGATAAATATGTATATATATATATATGTATGTGTGCGCGTTATAAATTTATGGAAAGCTCCGTAGTGTCAGGTTTTCAAGAACGCAGATATAAAACTTTTTTTGCCTGAAAACAAATTCGCGGGTTTAAGAAAGCGCTGTTTTCCTGGAAAATAGAGAATTCACCGAGAGAACAAAGGTGCCCGAGGAGAAGGAAGAGGAAGATCGAGCACGATCGCGGATGATATACCTGTGTTTTGTAGTTGGGCAGGCGAGCCCAATGCTCCGAGCGGGGAGCCGCCATATCCTAGAGCCGCTAAACCTGCGGCAAGTCCTGAACCTTGCTGCTGCGCCTGTTGCACCGCAACTGCCTGGGCTTGCGCGACCACTGCCGCTGCGCTGCACGCTGCCAGACCTGCACCAAAAGCCCGCAACCCACACGCGTCTTTCTTAGTCGTCGTAAGTGTTGATTAGCGTATGTTACCTTATACCGTCTACGGAGAAGCCTGGGGATCTACATATCGCAATCGCGTGTCCGCGAACGTGGGCGTCGGAAATAGGAAAGCCCGAAAGAAGTCGAATTTCAGGCCATTGCGTGCGAAACATCGATTCTGCGCCGCGATCGTGATCGTATCGTAGACGATTTCCGAGGAAAGATATGTGCAATCGCAAGCGGTTAGTTGTATTATTCATATATTTGAAGTAATTGAAAGTAATTATAGTAATTTTATAAAATAGTATAATTAAACGTTGAAAATTTAAAAGCAGAAAGGATTAAAAACAAACCAAAAAAACGCTCTCAAGTTCGTATTCTGAATGTTGAATTCTTTGTACAGCGATATTTCATTTTTTCACGTTAATATAATTACTATTCTTAATTTATATTACTTTTCCTATATCACATCTGACTTTAAATCATAATGTACCAGTAGAAACTTTCTTATTTTTTTTTACATTTCTGTATTTACTAAGAAGAGCATTCGCAAAAATTCCAGAAAAATGACATCGTAATTTTATGAGAAAATTATGATGTAATAATCGACTCTGAAAGATATATTAATTTATTTACTACATTTAATTTAAAATCCGACATTTCTTATATGCGACGATTTAATAAAATTATCCTCTTTTTTTCTCTGCTATTGTGCGCAGAATCCTTTTTGCGGTGGTGGACCCAAAGGCGCTGCTCCTCTTTGCTACCCGCGCATATCCTTATCTGCGACTCGGAATCGTGCCGTCAATAGTAGTATCTGTCCTCTCGTTTTTTCTTATAGTGACATAGGTAGTGCCGGGCATGTTTTACGCGTATTTACAGGGAATGAACGAGTCAATCGTGAACGGCAAAAGTGGACGTTAACGATGATAGCATATATTTACGTATCATAATCGAAAGATTGTCATATAATTTCGTTTCGCATCACACAGTCATGCATTACACACGTATTACACGATAAGGGAATAGATAAGGGAGGGGTAGATCTTTACAAGATATTACACACAGCATGACTTTACAAGGCTTCTTACAGATGTGTTTATAAAGAGGGCCGTGGTCATACGGCATATTGGATTTTCGTTGAACTCACCTAGACATTCGCCAGGCGTAGCGTTGCTGTGTGATGTCGGAGTTGGTTGAGAATATAAATTTGGCGGTGGCGGTGCCGGTGGACCCGGTGGTGGTTGAGATGGAGCTCTGTTTACGAGAACTGGTGCGGGGCTGACTAATCTCATGGGGGTCGCTGCCGAACTTAATCCGCGAACGCCTCCCATGACGATGGAACCGTTCTGATCGTAGTAAGCCGGTATCACCTGATACTGACCCTGTACCTGCGGAAAGATTAATTGGGCTACATCAATTAC